CAGTCAGGGGCTGCCCTGAGAGGGCAGGGGGCCAGGTCCAGGGGCGCCCCCGAGAGGGCAGGGGGCCGGGCCTAGGGGCGCCCCCGAGAGGGCAGGGGGCCCTTTGTCTCTCAAAAGTCTTCACAGCCACCACTGAGCCAAGCCCAGTGCACTGTCTGCTCTCTGACTCACTGAGGCCAGGGCACAGGGGACACTCGGGAGGCCAACGAGGACTCCTCCAGACTTGGCGATGCCCAGGCCAGAACACGGCCCAGGCCAGAACACGGGTCTCTTCACACAGCCCTGAAAGCGCAGGGCAGCCCTCGCAAGAGCCAGACACACGGCTGCTGGACTTCCACCTCACCTGCTGCCGGCTGACGAAGGCGCCTGCTACGGGAAGGGACTCTCCAGCTGCCATGTTGAGTCAGGTCCTACGGACTGTCATGCCAAGTCTGGTTGGATCTCAGCCTTTCTCCTTCATGTGCAGGCATCCAGCAAGCCTGGGGAGTGGCATAACCTATGGGAAGAGAGCAGGACAAGGCAGGCAGTGGAGAGAACGTGCCAGCAGTCTAGACAGATCTCACACCTGCCTGAACACTGCGGAAGAAATGGTTCTTCAGGTAGCCCAATAGCGTGCCACTCAGAGGAGCAGTCTGAAATGAAGAAAGGGAAATGCAGGCTGAATACGAGGAAACTGGGCGGCAAAGATCTACAAGCGAACACAGACATCCCAGTCTGCTACGGGCTCCACGTGGGTTTGCACGAGGGACCCAAGAAAAAACCACTGCCGAAGAAACGGTTAGCACCGAGACCTTCATTGCTGTACTGTCTGCAAGGCTGCCTGGAGGCCCATGATTCAGCGTGCCCAAAAGAATTCATTCACAGTAGCAGCCGCACGACCGCAGCCCAGGTCCACAGGGGAGGCTAAGAAAATCTACAAGAGCTTGAGCTGGTTTGACTCATGCATCTTCCCATTCCACTCAGCTCATGAATGACACTAGCCCACTCCCACCAACGCGCATGCAGCGGGACCCTATGCTTCTGTCCTGCATTTGGCCCAGTCTAGCTGAGCGGAAGAGAGACTGTCTCCACTGGCATCACTCATAGCAAGAGGGACTGGGAAAGAGGAATCAGCCAGGAAAGCAACTGACCAGAATGGGGGGCAGAAGTTAAAGGAGGCATGTTACGGTAGCTTAGGCAACTCTGCACGGTGCTCCCTTTACTTGTCAGATTCTGTGCTAGGAACCTTCCCCTTGGAGCAACCTGCAGGAACTTGTCCGCTTGGAAAAGAGACGACTAAGGGGTATATGACAGAGGTCTATAAAATCATGAGTGGTGCAGGAAAAGTGAACAAGGACAAGTTATTTACTTATTCCCACAATATAAGAACTAGAGTCACCAAATAACATTAATAGACAGCAGGTTTAAACAAACCAAAAGAAGTTTTTCTTCACTCAGTGCACAGTCAACCTGTGGAACTCCTCGCCTGAGGAGGTTGTGAAGACCAGGAAACAGGGTTAAAAAAAGAGCTAGATAGATTCATGGAGGTTGGGTCCATCAGTGGCTGTTAGCCAGGATGGGCAGGGATGGTGTCCCTGGCCTCTGTTTGTCAGAGACTGGAAATGGGAGACGGGAGGGATCACGGGAGGATTCCTGTTGTGTTCATTCCCTCTGGGGCATCTGGCATTGGCTGCTGTGGGCAGACAGGCTCCTGGGCCACATGGACCTTTGGACTGACCCATTCTGGCTGCTCTTATCATGGAGGCCTTAAGACTCTTCCCCGGTGGAAGAATGGGCCCTAGCGTAGGCACTAGTACATTTCAGGTAGTCTCACAGTAAGCAGCCTCCCCAGACCACCTCTGAATTTGGTCCTCTCTGTTGTTTCTGGATCGGGAGTGACACCGAAATGGGTGGTGCTTTGTAAGAAGGGCCCACTGACCACTCAGTCAAGGGACTTTGTAGCAGGTGCACTCACCTAGCTAGGTAGGAATATTTGCCAAGGTCTGGAGCAGTCTCCTCAGGGGGTGGCAGGAGCTCCTCTGCTCAGTACACTGAAAACGAGACTGGAAAGAACAATTCTGTTCTGGATCTCTGGAAAAGGAGTTCTGAGGTGGCCTGAGAGGCATTTTCATCTCTTAACCTCCATGAAAAGCAGCAGCCCCAGCTAAGCAGGCTGAGATCAAGCCAGATGCAGTCAGAGGGGACGGCCAGCGTGGAGCTAGAGACTTAAGAGCTTTGGTGCTAGACGGTCAAGCCACTAGAAAGAGGAGCAGGGGGCATTCAAAGGCAAGCAAGGAGAAGGATTTCAGGTCGGGAAGACTTTCTTATGCAGAGCGGTTGACATGACTGGGACTGGAGAGGAGAGGAGAGGAGAGGAGAGGAGAGGAGAGGAGAGGAGAGGAGAGGAGAGGAACTACGGAAGAGGACAGACGTATACAAGAAAAAAGAGGCGCACAGATACACAAGCCTGCCAAGAAGAGAGAAGATGTTTCTGCTGCTCTCCTAACACAAGAACAAGGGACACGAGATGAAACTGACGTTACCAAATGTAACCGGAAAGAAAAGAAAAACATTTTTGCGGCACCTCGTGAACCAAGGGGACTCGCCACCACAGGAGCATTCAGAAAGGGAGCGATGCCAGTTACCTCAGATGGGCCAACCTGTGGCCAGGCTTTCACCTCCCCCCTGCAGCCTCCACTGGCAGAGGCAGGATAGAGCACGCCTCTGATGGAGGCAGAGATGATGAGGTATTAACCCCCCAGGGACATCACAGGGCAGATCCCTACAAGGGGGTTTCTGGCTGTGGAGGGGACACGCTGCTGAGAAAGCAAGGCGCGGAGTCGGGCCCCCTGACCGTCCCGCCTGCAGCTGTGCGATGCCAGAGCGCTGGCTGATTACACATGGACTGCATGCACGCAGGGCCCTGCAGTGACAAGAGACAGATGTGCAGGCTGGGCCTGAGAGCCTGCAGCAGTGGGAGAGGGACCCATGCGTAGGGTGCATGGACACTGCCTGCGGACACACAGCACTAGAGCGGGTGCCGGTGTGACAGGTGCCATACAGCCTGGGTCAGCAGGCGAGGCTCGCAGGCCAGCCAGGCTGGCACTGCATGCACGCAGGGCCCTGCAGTGACAAGAGACAGATGTGCAGGCTGGGCCTGAGAGCCTGCAGCAGTGGGAGAGGGACCCATGCGTAGGGTGCATGGACACTGCCTGCGGACACACAGCACTAGAGCGGGTGCCGGTGTGACAGGTGCCATACAGCCTGGGTCAGCAGGCGAGGCTCGCAGGCCAGCCAGGCTGGCACTCGGCTCTGGTTGCAGGGGAGCCAAGCCACCAGGAGCCTGCAGCAGGAAGGCAAGGGCCCACCTCCACGCCCCAGGTACCGGTCAGCTAACCCTGCAATTGTGCGGTCTGTTCACCAGCCTTCCCAGCCCCTGCATGCTGCCCGCTGCCCGCTGCCCAGGCGCCCCGGGCTGGCCGGCACCGCGGCCCTCAAGCACAGGGACAGCCTGCAGCAAGGCGGACGGGCGAACCCCTGCCCAGGGCTGCGGCAGGAAGCAGC